ACACTGAATACTATACTAACGCTTTTCAATTACTTGTACTTTTAGCAATATTGAAGAAGCAAGGTGCTGAAATCACACCCTTTTGATTTTATTGAATGAAGGCTGCTGGTTTTGAACACAGATACTGCTATGAAGATAAACCATCTAGTTACAGTGCCCAAGCTCCTGGCAAAGGCAGCCAGAATCTGTGGGTCAGGAACCTGCCTCATGCCACTCGGCAGCAAAGTGTTAGTTAAATCTCTGCACAGCGTCAGCTTTCCTGCCTTCTTGTGTTGTGTGTTGCCTTGCAACCCATTGCCACAGTTTGCACCCAGACCTCCACAACGCCCAGGCAGCTTTAAATGCCTGAGCTTCTCTAGCCACTGCCTGTGAAGAGGGGATGTGCCTGGCAGCAGCAGGCAGGGGAAGCAGCAGTGGCTGGTAGGAACCTGGAAGGGGCCAGGGCACCACAGGGCCCACAGTCTCTCCAGTGTATCCAGGTGCCAGCAAAGGCTCCTTTACCAGTCTGAAGCAGAGAAGATGGATCCTGTAGGAATAAGGCTTTGGCCTGAAAACATTTCAGCATCCAGAGCTCTGGATGAAGGAGACTTTAAGCAATGTTTTGTGCACAAAATATTTGCTGTCTGCTGTTGGGATGATTTTCTAATGCCCGGTGATCTAATACAAATTATCGCTGCAGTTTCAGATGGAGGCCTTATTCCTCACTTCTGAGCCAAAGCTGGGGAAACATTTTGCTGTGCACTCTTAAACAGGTGCCCTATTATGTATCACAGCTGGCTACATTTTAATATAGAAGAAATTACTCCTGTGCCCACATAATTTATAAACCGCTTCAGGATCAAAAGGATTTCTAAGATGAAGAAAAAAGGTCTCAGTTAGGTTTCATAGGGAAAATGATTTGTTCCATAGCTTAAATTTATAGCTTCTTCCTCTCTTTAAGTTCAGATTTGGAGACAAGTGTTGCAAATTTTAGCACAAGACATGTAGACATCGATGTTTTTCATGTCAAGCTGTTGGACCCAGTGAAGTGACAGGAGAACATCATCCTTCATTTTTAAAAATTATGTTTCTGGTTAAGAAACACTATAAAAATGAGACCAACTACACCCAGAAAGGCAGGAAAAAAAGGCAAGGTAAATAAAAAGATACCAAACTCATTGTATGCATAAGGGTCTGATGGCTTGGTCAGGTGAAATGTTCAATTTTGGTTTGACAGCATTGTGGAATTCAGCTGAAAATGTGTATGAAATAATGGAAGAAAACATATGCTATGATCTCCTTGCTATACTGAGCACACTCTACCACTATTGATAGCATATCTTATAATTCCTAGAAAGCACAGTTTAGGAGTCAAGAAATTGTAATGATAATTTCAGAAAAGAGAGTTTAAGTCTGTTGGCCTAATTTCTGTATTGTTGTTCACAGGATTTCTATGAAGGTATCTTGAAAGTGCTTGGAGAAGAAGACGAAAATGAACAGGAAGAAGTTAAACTCAAGCAGGGCTTAAGTGAACTCCCTGAAATTTATGAATTACACCAAGACATCCTGGGAGAACTGGAAGAAAGAGTCCTTAAATGGTAAGTATGGAATGGCATGGTTTGACAGCCTTAACATACCCTCCACAGCAGGTGGGTGACCTTGTCAGTGTTCCCTTGACCCCACTTGCAGGGAGGCTGGGATTCCAGCAGAGATGATAGGAGTAGAACCTGAACTACTTTGGCAGATTTTGCATACAGGCAGGAAGGAAGTAAATGTAGAGGCTGTCAGGCTAAGAAACCAAATACTGAAACATTTGCGCAGTGCACGGCCCATGATTCCAAAATGGCCCCATCAGTCAGTGTGGGGACAGCCTGCTTCATGTGCATTATCCTCTGATGCCAGTTCATAGTCGTCACCAACACGCTTCACACTCATGGCCTGAAGGTCACAGACTCATGCCATGGGAGGCAGAAACAGCAGACATCAGAATTGATGCTGAAGAAGATCATCTGCTTACAGAAATCTACATAGCAACTGCGTAGCTCTCAGATAAGGGACACCCCCTCACTCCCAGCACCAAGGCAGGGCGCTGCACGGGCTAGGCTTCCAAGCCAAACAGACACTGGCAGCCTGCTGAGCGACTCCACCTAAGCCAAACATCCTCACAGGGTGAAGTCTTTCCATGAGAGAATAAGACCATGCCTAGGACAGACAAAGCTCCAGAATCCATTCAGTTAAGGAGACCTCTGACTTAAGCCAGGCTGCCAGGCCCTAGTCTATCAAAGTGCTGGAATAAGAATGTCTAAGAGAAATTAACTCTGCAGACCCAAGCTGACTAAACCTACAGCAGCCAGCAGAGTCCCTGGCCCAGACTGAACAGCTCACGATGGACCATGCAGCCCCACACCTCCACTTTGCTGGACTCCAGGAGGCAGTGGTCACTGACAGTGGCTGACCCTATCCCAGCACTGCCACTGAGCAGTTAAGCAAATCAGTTAGATCAGGAGAACTTTTCAGTAACAATCCTAAATGCAGGGCACAGATCTCCTTGGCAGCCCTGCACTTTCAAGTCAAAGCACACAACAAGGAAGGAAAAGGCTAAAGGGAACTGTATATTCATGTCCACCAAGGGACTGTTACAAATGGCAGAAAGACTTAAAAGATTTCATTGATGAATTATGATTTATACACTCATAACACAAGGAGAAGTGATGTTTCCAGCTGGGATCTAAAATTACTTGTGTCCTAGAGAAGTCACAGCCCTACTCTAGCAGCATGCTGCCCATTCCCTAAGACAGAAGGGACACAACTGGAAATGCCCTAAGATTCTATCCAGAAATACTCTGTGGCACTGGGGAGAAAAGAGGGCTGTACTGCAAATGCTGCCAACACAACAGGCTGTGCTCATACAGGTTCCCAGGTCACCACCACCCTTGAACCTTCCAGTAAGTCCTTCCCTGTGCCTGCACTCTCCCAGACACTCTGTTGCTCTGACATCCCCAGGAACTCATGTTCCTCTCTTAACTATGATTACTCTTTTGTGATCCCAGATTTTGTCCTATTCTCTCCTTGTACATGCTTCGTAAGTATTTCAGTACTGTGCAGCTGGGTGCTGAGACAGATGATGGTGGGGCAGTGCTGAGAAGGGGGCAGAGAAGGAGAGCTGAAGGTACGATGTTACAACTGAAGACATTATATTATCCCCCACAATCAGTGCTCAAAGCACTGCAGCAGCTGGAAGGTCTGTTTAGAGAAGCAGAAGCTGTGTCCAGAAAGGAGACACTATGGGGACACAGTGCTGCCATGGCAAAGGCACAGCCGAAGGATCAGCCACTCGTGGTGCCCATTCTACAGCAGCCTGTTTTGTTGTCCAGTATGTCAGGGAAGCACTCCCTCTTTCCTGCCATTTAACCTAGGCTTTAGCTGCACAATGTCCTTAGCCACTGTGGGTCTAATACAATGAAAAAGAAGTATGGCTCCTCTTCTTTAATTTTATTTATTTATTTATTTGCTGCTTCTTTTCTTTCTGTGGCCTTAGGGAGGAACACCAGAAAGTTGCTGACGTTTTTCTGTCCAGAAAATCAAGGCTGAATCACCACACAGATTACATTATGCAGTTTGATAGGAATTTGGCTTTGCTAGATGAAACCTGCCTTAAATATTCCCAACTGGCTACCATAATTCAGGAGTTTGAGGTAAGTCTCCCACGTATTTTTACCTGCACTAACACATGGTTGTGCCACAGGGCTTATTCAAAGAGACTTTTTGTGCAACTCCACCAGTGTTCACATAGGGTAGAGTGGGGGGATAGCTCTCTTCACACATCCTGGTGCTAAACGCGAAGTGAGATGTTCACATGTGCAGAGATGTTTGCTTCTGTGTCTGTCTCTGTTGCCCACACACCCCTGTGTGTGCATACAGAATGTATGTTTGTGAATCTACAGATCTGTGAGTATATTTTGCTGAAATACAAGCACATAGTGGAGTAGTTTCTCAGTCACATATTAACTTATCAAGCTCTTTGAAGATGTGTTAGAGTTAATAACTATTATTATTACCATCTTTTCATATCTTGTCCTCTTCCACTGCATTTTCCATCCTTTCTTTTGTACTGGGTCTGGCCAGGATGAAGTTAGGGTTAACCTGTATAGGTGCTGGCAGCGATTTACCCACAACATCTTTACAATAGCATTTTTCTGCATTTTTAAATGCCTGTTAACTGCTTCCTCTGTTTACAGAGGATGTTGTGACAGGCAACACTGAATGGCACAGGAAGACACAAACTCCACTGGCCAGACACATACAGGGTTCCTTTCATCTAGACTCCCTGAATGGCCTGTAACCCCTAGGCCTGTAACCTCTGGCCCTGTAGCAAGAAACACGTATTTTCCAGTTGTGTTAACTCAGTCATCTATGCTGAATAACTGAAAAACACCATCAAGAGACATGTCACAGACATTCCATGATTCCTGATTACATTTTAAAGTACTGGCAGTGTGGCCATTTCACATAATTTCAAAAGCATAAACCCATATGTGGATAGGAAAGTTCAGTTGGGCTACACTGACTCTGTTGAGCTAAAATAGTTAAAAGCTATGCTGCTTTATTGTGGGTCCAGAACCCCTGTTTCTTATTATCTTTTTCTGGTAGGAGAAATAACAATGTTTACTTGGGTGGCAGCGGGGTGTGAGGATAAATTAGTGATCAGACCTTAAAGGTTATTTAGAATGCCAGCTCTATGGGGTATGGATTGTGGTTTTCTCTGCAGCACATGTGAAATATTAAGGATAACGATTAATTTCAAAAGACATTTGGAAGTCAGCATTTACAAACAGATACCTTGCAGTCACCACAATTACTTCCTGTTAGCAGCCCAGGGGAGTTCTGATGGCTCACACTGCTCTGAACATGAACTTGGCAAATACAAGCTTTCTACTGAGAGCCTGTATTCCCAGCATCCCTCCCAGACACATGCCTATACACTTCTGTCTTAACTATCAACCCTGAGAATTAGCTCTTATTTCTAAGAAAGCAGATGAGGCTTTTCCTAGGATGTGATCAGCAGGATTTTGCCCCAGAATCGGTGAGTTCTGTAACTTCTTGCCCTCTGGCATGCGTGCATATACACACAAATGAGGGGGAGGCATCTCAGTCCTTTCCTATTGCATTTTTTTAAAACGTGATAGTGGTCTTCTTGCCCACCTGGGCAACCTGTAGAGCCTTCCTACCCTCAAGCAGATCAACAGTCCCACCCAACTTGGTGTTGTCTGCAAACTGTCTGAGGGTGCACTCGATCATTGATAAAGATATTAAATAGAACTGGTCCCAATACTGAGCCCTGGGGATCACCACTTGTGACCAGCCGCCAAGTGGATTTAACTCCATTCACCACAACTCTTTGGGCCCGGCCATCCAGTCAGTTTTTTACCCAGTGAAGAGTACGCCCATCCAAGCCATGAGCAGCCAGTTTCTCCAGGAGAATGCTGTGGGAAGTGGTATCAAAGGCTTTACTGAAGTCCAGGTAAATGACATCCACAGCCTTTCCCTCATCCACTAAGTGGGTCACTTTGTCATAAAAGGAGATCAGGTTAATCAAGCAGGACCTGCCTTTCATAAACCCGTGCTGACTGGGCCTGATATGCGGTGACATGCAATGGGTCAAATCTAAAGCGTAAAGAGAAAAATGTTACTTCTTTTCCATGTGTGTGTTAAATCAGATCACAACCTCACTTTATTTTCTTGTAAACACTCTCTGGACATTCAGTTCCACCTCAATCACAGGGGAGATGCCTTGCGGTATTTTGCTCAATTCCATGTCTTGAAATAAGATACTAAAAAGTTGCAAGCAGAAGAAACTTTCATTCCAAAAAAGGAACAATGATGACAAGCTTCATGGAGATCTGATACCTCTGTTTTCAGATGCCACCCTAAAATCTTTATCCAGCCTTTACCTCCTAAATGGTATTTGCTTTCCTTCCTTTTCCCTCTGAGTCCAAACTATTTGTGAATGATGTCATAGGAAATAAACTGTTTACAGTACTTTATAGTCACAAAGACAATACCCCCTAGCAAGCTGGGTAAATTGGGAATGGTTCAATGGAATTTGTGCATGCAACTGGTAGCAAACTTTCATAGTACGCATCAGGTGGAGACAACAGTTTGCTGCTGAGCTCACACATCCCTGACCTTTGTGTTTCCTTTCCCTTCCATTGAGGACAGCAGAGCTCTGGTGGCAGCCCTCAGAGTGTGAAACACCAGCTTTTGAAAGTGGTGCAGCGTGTCTTCCAGTATCGTGTGCTGCTCACAGGTCAGTAAAATCACTTCCAAAGGCACTCAGTGGAAATGCTCCCATGATGTTCTGTGCCTCCACTGTGACACACATTGATACCAAGACAGCTAAAATAGGGCTGAAGCAGTTTGGGATTTCCTGGGAACTTCAATAAGCTTAGTACAGGATTCAGGAAATGTCAGGGAGCCTAGCAAGGAGCAGGCACTTCTTCAGCACAACCATGCTGAAAGGTCACAAAAAAGTGTAAAGTCAGGTGCTTTTAGCTACTCCTTCCTGGCTTTTTCCTCCTGTAAATTAGGAGAGGCAGAGTTCAGCCTCATTGCCAGCAAACAGGTTTGATTTTATTTATGTCAAGGGCGATTATCAGAGACAGTAGGGGACAGTAGTCCCCAGCAAGGGGATGCTGCACTGCATCCTGTATGACAGTGGCAAGCCCCATCTCCTCCTACTCCAGCAACAAAGCAGTGGTACCCAGTACTGCACCCTAAGCCCTATGTACAGTACACCTAAGGCTAGTGATAAGTTTAAGTCAAAATCCCAGTCAAATTTCTCTGCATTGTAGGAGGCAGAGATCCAAATTTACATTAGCAGTACATTTACAGACTTTACATTTACAGTAACACCTTCCCTTTACATTCAGGACCATATATATGACTCCCACCTGGAGTCTGTCCAAGGGGGGTTGTGTTCTCTCTGGGGGCTCATTCTCTGCAAGCTACAACAAATCTAGCCAGTCTGAACCTGTGAGGGGAGCAAGCTTTCTGGAGCAGGATGTGGCCCCTAGAAAGAATTGTGAAGTTTAGGTTTGTAACTAATGAACTAGTTGGGGAAGGAAATGGTGAAATGTAACAATGAATTTCAGTGTTGTCAAGTAATTTAGTCAGAACACAAAAGAGCAGGGATCCATAGACGTAAAGATGGAGAAATGCTTTGGGAGTATGTGTATGTGTGGGTGGAGAGGGATGCAAGATGAGTTACACGTGGGACAGTAAAAAGGAAGCCATAAACCCTGCCCATACTGAACAGCTGATGAAGGACACAGCATATTAGAAGGGACTCCTATAAATGCAGCAGAACAAAGTGACCATATGAAATTTTTATTCACAGCACAGATTAGCAGCAGTTTCATCTTGCTCCAGACACTTTGATCAAGGATGCAACTCATTATTCACAGCTGGTTTTGCTTTTTTAGTACAAGCAATACAAATGAACACCGGATGCCAATAGTAGGACTTTTTTTCTGTCTGACTTGCTTCCCTCTCTGGGTGTGTCTAGATTAAGGGCAACTTTCCAGACTTGTGCGTTGCAGTATTTAGCAGTCTCACAAGATCCTCACAGTGTTTTTAGTGCATGCACACAAATACTGCATCTAAGAAAAAGGACTTTGCATGTCCCTGTCAGAAATACACCCACTATGTTCCATTTCCTCTGCCCATTTCTGTGGTCCACAAGGTAAATTGCAAACATGAAGCATGGTATTTTGTGAGACAGCTGGAAGGGTTTCAGTGCAGCTTGAGTGATTGGATTCCGTCTATGCTTGAAGCAACTTGAGCTCCTCCTTGTCCCAGGTACTGGCACTAACTGGGAAGATGAAAGCTTTTGCGTGTAGTGAGATAAGGTCTGCTGGATTAAGATATTCCAGAAAATAGGTTTACTGCTTCAGTTCTTCACCTCAAGAAACCAAGCCCGTTCTTGCCTGCTAGGACAGGGTGGGTCTGGAACGCTGCAGTCCTTCAAATTCTCTAGCCAGTGTAAAAAAAAAAAAAAAAAAAAAAAGCAGGTGTACTTGTGTGTTCATAACTGGCTGTTTCTACCAGATAAGGAAGGGTGTTTTATGAGGATATTTGTTGCCAGTTACTGCAGTACAGCCAAAAGGAGTTGCCCACTCAGTTAAATGTCCATAGCCAAGGACAGAGCTTGCAGCGGTGAAAAGGAACACTAAATATTGCCTGATAACACTGCACAACCCCTTCCTGCCTGAGTACAGGCAGATGCTTGTAAAACCCAGGTAGATTTCGGGATGCTAGGGAGAGCACAGCACTAGAAAGAGAAACGTATACGGATAGGACATTCAAGGGAACGGATATGCATGCACAGCACCATTCTCAGCACAGAGGCCTAGTTCTTGGATGCAGAATTTAGGAGCCTGGATTTATCAGAAAGATAAGAGTGAAGTATTTCAGGATTAGGCTTTTAAAATGGTGGCACTCATATACAGTCATTAAAAGCATAAAGAGCCAGACAAAGAACAGACAGATGATCCAAGGCAAGTAGTCCAAATAAAACTGACAGGTTAAAGGTTTGTATATAATGCAAATATAATTCCTGTAAATGTAAGTCATATTGTGTGTATTTTACAGAACCTATTTTCAGAATGTGATTGAGTTGAGGAATAATCATTGAACTGGGCATGTATAGAACCAGAGTCTCCTTCCCGTGTCTATAAAATGGATATAATTCATTTACTATAACTATAGAAAATCAGTCATTACAGCAAACACCATTCATTCAGATGGGAAAACAGAATTCATTAGAAGAACAATTCCTTGTAAAGTGGTGCTACTCAGCAATTCTCTTGGCTGAGAAACAAGGAAATATTTTTGTCACTCTCTATTTGTTCATACCTGCCAAGTTATGTGATGAGTCCAAATCTGTATCGCTGCTCTTGCATGGGTTCTCAAAGGAGAATGCAGTCAAAGATGAGTTTTGCTTTGGAAAGAGGCTATATACACTTAATTATTTGGGAATAAAGTGATATGGGACATTACTGTGGGTGCCCCATCCCAGGAAGTGTTCAAGGTCAGGCTGGACAGGGCTTTGAGCAACCTGGTCTAGTGGAAGGTGTCCTGCCCATGGCAGGGGGGGTTGGACTAGATGACATTTAAGGTCCCTTCCAACCCAAACCATTCAATGATTCTATGATTAGGATCTTATGTTTTAGCTAAGAACACTAAAATTATGTGGATGTGTATTCTGATTACTGGATGCCTGTGTTTGTTTATTTTCTACAGATTACTTGAATAATCTTTGTCCTGATTCTACAGAGTATGAAGCCACACAAGGTAAAATGAAATGGGTAGAACAAAAGTTCTGCTTTGCTAACTCTGCTTCTAAAGAGGTACAGGATCTATAATGGTAGTATATGGAAGAGGATTATTTTCAAGATTTTGTGTTAATAGTTTAGATCTAAGATCTATACGAACTGATTACTAATTTAGACAAATTATTTAGGGCAAGAACCCTATCTTTTTTTATTGAAACGTGGGCTTCCTATAGTTTTGACACCATGAACTTACAGAAGAAGAAGTTACCATTTATACAAGCGTGCTGCAGATATTGTAGTTCTCCCCCTATCACCGGGGAAATCCTAGTCTTCTTTGGCTCTAGTCCATATTTGGCCTGGTCATTGCAAAGTCAATTGGGTGGCTCCACCTGCTTGTTTGTGTACCATTATCTATGGTATGCCTGCTGTGCTTTGTGAACTTTGGAGAAACCCAGGAGGTTTGAATTGTATGTCTGTATTCCGGATTCCTTAAGCCTAAGTAAACTTGAAAGACATTGCATAAAAATCAGTTATGCACAATCAAGAACAAATCCAGATGTTCAGCTGCTAACACCATCCTTTCTAACACATCAGATGGATAAAGCAGAAGTCTCTTACTCCCACTGAAGTCAAAGCCAGGTTTAGCTATGGCCTCAGTGGGAGTAGCTTCCAGGCTGGAGTAAGCAGGAACAACACTGTATTGACGAAACCAGCTCACCTCTCTGTTACACTGAGTGTAAATCCAAGCCAACTCAGAGCAATAAGGTCTGCGGCTGACTGAAGGCCTGTCTGTTCTGACCAAGAGTAGAGTCTCGTGCAAGATTTAGGACCTTAGACACTGACAGTGGGACTACAGCTATACCAGTAACTTAAACAAGGCCAGGGCAGACACTCAAGTCCTGTGGCGACAATTGCCTGTCCTGGTTGTGGTTAGCACGTGCTTGTCACATTTCTGGCCAGCGATGGCTAGCTTGCTCCCAGATTACGCCCACAAACAGATAGGATGCCCTGTTCCACAGGGGAGGAGATTTGAGGTAAGGACCTGAGCCATGTTATGCCACTGCTTTCGGGGTCAGCAAACATGCCCTGGCCCAGGTTATTTGCCAATGGAGAATCCAGGTGTTAATTCATGTCACCACTTCAGACACACTTCTGTCAGAAAGGGATGCTTGGCAGTAAGGGGAAACAGATCACCTTAGATTGCTGTGGTTTTGGATGGCTACAGCTGGATTACATTAATCTCTCTCTACCACAAGCTCCAATTGTCAAAAATGTGCAACTAGAAAACATCACAAAAAGATTTTGTGCCATGCTACATGCTTAAAAGGGACCTCATGAGCTCTCTTGGTCAGCACAAGTATGAGGCAGAGTTTCACACAAGAGGATGATGAAGGGCAGGGAACTGACAGCACTGTGCTGTGTCTTAAATTTGCTGGGTGGCTGCGTTCCAAAGGTGCCAAACAAGTTAAAGGAGCTGCTGCTGGGGATGTTTGGGTTTTTTTCAAGATGCCCTTGCAAACCGAAGGGATTTGGGTTATTTTCCTACTCTTTTATGTGATTTATGGTGTTTGTTTTGCTTCAATCCTCAGCTGCCTTATTCATTGTTTCTGAAATCACGGACCGAGCCAACGACAGCATGCTCCAAGCGGTGAGTCCTACCATGACACATGCTCTCCCGATCGATAGTGTCTTTTCTGCGCATCTGCTGAAGTGAATTCATATCTCTGCTAAATTCTGAAGCCTCCTCCAGGGTGAAACTCAAGGGTTTATACAGATCTGGTTTACAGTATTGCAGATAGGGACTAGGTCTATGTCCTTTAGTGCAGCTGTGCAAGATGTAAGTCACTGTAGCAAGCAGCACAAAGTTTTTTTCTCTCCTGGGGTTGCTGAAATGGTATGTGGAGCAACAAAGCGGAAGACGGGAATTTTCATGGTTCTATTTCTAGCCTGGGATGGTTTTAGATATGAAATGTTGAAGACATCACAAATGTACTGTCGAAGACACATTCTGAGCTAATTTACATAATTTTTCCACAATTCTGGAATCCCATTTTACTTCAGAAGAATAGGTAATGGTTTATAGTCTTGCAAATGATCACACTACCAAATAAACTGGCCAAGACTTTCATAGGTTAGAGCTCATGTCTAAATTCAGATTTAGGTATCTAAATAAGTTACATAGTTTTCCAAAGTAATGAACAGTTTCTGTAAGCTCAGTGTGATTTATTAATATCGTTTACATGATATTAGAGTCCTAATTTACTGGCAAAGATAGCCTGCATATAGCTGGTCTTATGGTCATTTCTTTCCAAGGGTCTAGGTCTAATTTTTGGCTAAGGTGATAGGAGTTTTCTATTGACATCAGTAAGAAGCAGTGTTGGGAGGCATAGGAGGCAGCAGAGAGACTGTCAGACACAGGATCCAGCAGGTTCCAGAGGAATTCAACTTGATGGACCTCTGGGTGATAACTGAAGGCAGTGCCTTTCTTTTTGTTAGACCTAGAAAATAGTCATAATACAGCCCAAAATTTCGAAAAATGCCATTTTTAAGCACTTCTTTTCAAGGCATTTAGATTACCAAGGAGTACGTGCAGTTGCTAAGGAAGACGTTTTCTCTTACGTGGTTTGTGTTCAACAGTATGCATGTTAGAGAACAAAGCACCTCATTCTACGCATCCTGCATTTCATCCAATAGTGACTGGTTACACTGAAGTGTTTCTTTCTCAAAAGGTGTCTCATCTTAAGTATTTTATCATTGCACTGGGTCACAGGGATTTCAGGTGATTGGGAACGTATCATATCTTTTGGGAAGCTTTCACATTTTATTTCTCATTTGAACATTGCTGAATTTAACATCCTGTATTGGGATTTTGCTGTGCCTTTGCTAAATTAAAGATTTCTTTGGCATTGCAAACATCCTTCCCTATGGTTACTTACAGATGGCATTCAATTCACTTCTTTGTTATTTCATTTACTAAGCACAGAGAGGCTTGTTAATAATCACGCGGGCACCAAAACACGAAATTCAACAAAGAGAAAAAACACCTGGGCATCAATGCAGACAAAGGGAAGAAATGAAGTGTCAACCCTTCTTAGTATGTGCTTGTTTTCAGGTAGGATTTTAAGGTTGAAAGAATGAATGCACAGGAATTGTTAGGGAAAGACACATGCTGGAGGACACTACAGCTCTGCACCACCAGCACTGCTGACTCAGCATATTCCCTTTAACACCTTTGTCCTCTGGCTGCAGGGGAAAAAACTGGTAAAAACACAGTAGGTCAACTAGATGAAGGATGTTTTTTGCAACAGCTTGGGAGGTAAGAATGAAAGAGTCTCAAAACCCAAGGTGCCCTTCTTCTTTTAAAACTGAAGCTTTCATGCTTTGTTCAGAGAAGTAGAAGTATCTGCTTGCAGCAAATGAACCCGAGCCAAGAATGTCAACTATTGCTCATATCTGGAAATCTCTGCTGCTCAGGTTTAAAAGCCATGTCTCTGATATATGTGCCAAGGCCATAAATGGAGCCCGTGTGTTCATGGGCTGTTTCAGAGCACCAAGTTCAGTGATGATCTCCTCATGGCCAGCAACAGACAAAACCCAAGCCTTCTAATATTAGTATCAGAAAGGGATAAGTTGTAGCTAAAGCTACTTACTATTTCCTGAATGGAAAAACCTGTCTTCATGGATCTGCCTCCTTCCCCATCTGATAGCTAGAAATTGAGACTGAGGCTCTGAACCTGCTTCTCCTGAAGGGAGTGGCAAAATTATGACAGATCAACATCAAGTCCAACTGGTGGATTTCTGGTTTTGTGCAGAGATGATCTCAAGCCATGGACAACAGATCAAGACTTTGAGCATTCTTAAGTTCAAGGTTTTTAAGGTCAAAACTCAAAATTCAGATCTGCATTTTCACTCAATGCAAACTTAAAAAAGCTTGGACCTATTGATTTGGTTTAAGTCCATTTCTGCTTTTCTGCTCCAAGCTTCTCCACCCCCAACCTCATCCCAGCACACGTACCTCAGAACACATTCCCCCTTCATACAATATCAGCCCATTTGCTCTGTTGGTGTGGCTCTGTGACAACCCAAAACCTTCAAACCTTCATTTTAAAGACAGCACCTTTTTTACTCCTCCTGATTGCTAAGGAAAAGTTCCAAACATGAATCATGTAAACAAAGCAGCACACTGCTTCAGCAGGCAGACAGCCTGAACACCTTTGCTGAATGTAAACCATCACCTACGCTGATCTCTTTGATTGCTTACTCTCAGCTTTATCTAAAGATATTTTGGGTATTAGCACAAAGTATTTTGTCATCAGCCATTATAGTAGATAGGATGAGGACAAAAGTTGGGAGGGAAGTCTTTGCAGATGAAATGGTAGTTGCATTACAGCCAAATGTAATGGTGAAGGGGGAGAAGAAAAGGAAAGAGAAAGCAGCATAACGTAAAAGCAAGATGCATGGAAACAACGATGTTCATACAGACTAATTCTGAGTGATGTTCAGCATTGATAGCAATAACCAGTACTTAATTACTACATAAACACTATTCTGTTACCAAGACAAAAGAACAGATGTAGATTGCAGGGAGGATGTGGTTTAACAAGCCTAGAGTTTTATCATAAAAAGAAATGTAATCTGTCCACTCTACAGAATGACTCTGAAACCACGCATTTACTGAGCAAAATTTTCATCAGGTTTGATTCTGATTTTCTTTCTCCTCAGGCAAAGCATTTATAATCATACTTTTCCATTATTAAAGCATTCTTTGTACCAAAATAATAAATACTTCATCATAAAACTGAGATCTCGGGAAAAGCTTCCACAGTAATCTCAGGGCTTTAGGGATACCTGTATTAGAGGTTGAGAACTGCAAGAGCTCGGTTCCTAACAGATCAAGGTCCCACACCTTTTTCTGGCACCTGTGCTTCCTTAGATTTCACTCAGATTTATGGGAGACGTGTATGAATACTTTTCTGAAGTTAGAAGTATACATAAGTGGGCAAAATCAAATTTGCTGTGTTGCTTTACCATGCAATGATTTTACCTCCACTAAGCCATGCTTTAATTTGAACATCACCGTATCATCTGAGTTTTACAGGTGTCACAGACTGTATAATAATTGCTATTAATAATGTCTGGTTTGGAACAATTTCATTGCAAATTCCCCATAGATTTTTACACTTCATTTTTTATTGTATCATCAGAGCACATCTGCTCTTTTTCAAAACTGTGGCCTGGAAGAGATGAAACAAAATTTCCTTCTTTCCCATCTGTGTGAACGCTGTGGGTTTTGTGAAGGCATAGGTTCATTAGAATCAAAGTTCAATATTCTGCTAAATCAGAGGTTGTCCTCCTGAATTAATATCCCATCCACAAAAGCCACAACCAGCAGTTCTTTTCTTTCTCTCAGATTTTAAAAAATGCGAAGAATTTAAGAAGTTACTCTAATTACAGAACAAACTGAACAATGCCACTCAAGACAGAGTGTTAATAAATTGTCACGTACCTGGTTGAAGTTCTAAGCAATAATTTAGACTTGGCATGTACCTGGAAGGAGGAAGATTTCTGCTGCCACTTATCAACTCATCAAACTACACTCCAAAAATCTGACAGGAGCATTGAATTATGATCTACATTTTCTGCAGGATATCAATGATTCATTATTAGCTTTTTTGTTGTATGATAATGACACTCTAGCAGTTTTTCCACGGGAGCTATTAACCCAGGATTTTCAGACACGTTATAATATTAACTATCTCCACAGCATTTTCGTCAATTAGGAAAATACTATTTGCAATTTACAGATATGCAAACAGAGGCATAAGGCACACCATCACCGCATAGCATTAAGTCTGTCTGTAACTCTAGGAGACATTCACTACTTGAACTAAGCAGGGTTTGTATTGCTCTCAGAACTTCTACAATCTGTCAGAGGCCCTAAGATGCTAAGAGCTACAAATCATTGTTGCTATTAACAGCTGGTGAATTCCTTGGGGAGGTGTTCCTCCTGCATAGACATAATGATAATATGATGGAAGCTGCAGTTCACTGCTAAAATAGCTCAAGAATGATTTCAGCCACCCACATCTGCAGTACTAGTTGGGTGGAGCTTTGTTTTCATTTTTTACTCATAGCTTGTGAAGGATATTTGAAAGGAGAATGATGATAGTTTTAGGAGAATAAAGAAAACTATATAAACACGGAATTTTAGGGGAACTGTAGGCACACTATACCCCCCCTTCAGCTGCCCACATTCCCAGATAAATCACTGTCCTTCACATGTGATGGTTGTTTGACTTCCTACAGGAAATGAGTTTGATACATCTCTGTCCATTTCCTGGTGAACATGTGTCCATATTGCAAATGTCAGCATTGCAACAGGCACCTCTGCCAACAGTCCTAAGAAAAGCTGAGGTGTATCTGAGCTGCAGCAACTTCTCTCACTCCTGTAGAAAGCCCAATGAGTAGTACTAGCATTGGCCATGAGTGTCCTCACAGGAGGCCACTGCCTTTTCTGCAGATGAAGATGTGTTTCCATTGTGGAAGCTGTCAATTTGACAAGTTTTGCTAGGGCTCAAATACCCTTTAGTGATGGGAAAGTCCTTTGCAAATCTTTTGCAAATGCCAGCTGTCTCCTGATCCCTGGTATTTCCTGCGCTACTAGTTTATACATTCTGTTTCCATTTTGCTGGCCTATAGTGACCTGAAAAACTCCATTTGTTACTTCCTGCATTGCAAAAGAGATACTTGATGGCTGAAATTCTTGAAAATGTGTCAACTGCCAGTTATATTGCATGATCACAATGCAGCCCTGTGCTGGTCAAGGTTTGTAGGTGCTTCCATATGTTTGATATGCGGTTACTGATTAAGAACTAAACTTAGCATGATGCTAAACAAGTGTAATATTTCATCAGGGTAGTAACATACAGAGGTATTTCAGGCTTATCTCAAAAAGCAAGTTGAGATAGGTACATTAATTGTGTTAGCTGAAATTCAGGGTTAATTAGCCTTGACAGACCATCATGTTGACATGGATATGCTCCTTCTGGTATCTGTGATAGCTTTCTTAATTACCCGATTCTGTAGACAGCACTGATTTGTATCAGGCAGATACATTGTACTATCTAATCGAGTCTAACTAAGCCCAAGGGTATCTTAATGCCAGTCAATGGAGCATAGGAAAACAGACCATTATCTGTCATAGCAGAAAACTGTAGTCAAACGCTGCCAGGTCATGAAGCTATATCAAATATGGTCCTTAGTCTGTAGTTTATCTGGGTGTGTAGCTGAGGATTTAGGATACAATGGCTAACGTAGACAAGAGACTCCTAATTTTTAGACATATTCCAGTGATGACTCATTGCTGCTGTGCAGCCCATTCTACTGCTCTGACCAGATAAAACCACAGCTGAATCCTATGTACAAACCTCACTTTTTGCAGCCCCACCTGCTAAATGGAAGGAGATTTGAAAAGACTCTAGCAATATTACAAAGGTACAGACATCCCTTCTGCCTCCTTTGTATATTCATCCAATACCATCTTTTTTATGAGAGCACAGGCTTAGCTAGATTTAATCTTATTTATCATATTCATAGATAAGTTCATGCCACAAACCAGTGCCCACTGATTGTCTGTGCTTTAAGGCCAGGTAGGCAGTTAATAGTATCAGAGTTTGATAATGAACCTCCTGATCTTTGCAAAGCATCAAAGGAGAGCTGCAGCTTCATTGCCTGCTTACTAGTTAACCTTCTAAATCCCCTACTGCAAAGCCATTAATCCGTTATCACAGAATATAAACCTCCAGATAACCCTAGCAACAGCCTTATATTATCATAGCATGCTTTGGATTATCCGTGTCATGCCACTAATGCACAAGCCTTTGGAGCAGATACTGTACTTTGTCTCTGCTGCCAGTTTATTAGTTCCCAGAGCAAGAAAGTCAGCAAAGAGGCCATGTATAAATACTATATGGAGTCAGCAGGCCCTTGTGAAGGTGAACTGAGGTATCAGAGGTAACAGGAGTGTGGAAGGCCACAGCAGATATGAATGCAGGTGATGAGGTTTTAGAAAACCTGTAAGGCTGGCATAAAATCCCTGGGCTCAGTTCTCTCTGAAACCTAATTCTGTAATACCACTTTTAGAGAAATAAAATGGTGAGGAGGGGTGAGGGAAGGTTTGCCTGCTTGTCTAAAGAACAGTCACCACGCAGTCTCCTAAACGCTGTTTCTTTCCCCCAGGAAAACTTGCAGAAGCTGGTACACATTGAGCACAGTGTGAGAGGGCAGAGTGGCCTCCTCCAGCCAGGAAGGGTGAGTGCTGCAGGCAGACCTATGCTGATAAGGGCATTGTTTCCGGCCAGCTATATCTCTGATTGTGTGGATGGCCAGATTTCAGACGTCTACAGGTGTTGTTTACTGAGCTACTGTGATAAGAGTTGGAGCGCTGGTCTGTGTAAAAAGCCATCACTCTGGCAGTGTGCAAAGAGATGTGCCGAGAGCCTCAGGCTGGGAAAGACGTGCATTGTCCGTGCTTTCACACAGAGCAGCCATTTGACTTTTCACTCCAGCTGTCCTCAGCCACCCCATGTGTGGTGTGTTTTGATGGAGCTGCTGTTTTTCTCCCTATATACTCCTGTTGAAAGGTTGCAACACCAGCAGGA